ATTTGGAGAAGTACCATTTAAGTTGACTTCACTGCATTTTTCATTTTTTTTATGATGGTAAAGCAGCAATAAACAGCAGCGAAAGTCTATACTAATGCCAAATATTTATTTCTTATAAGATGAGATGAAACAACTACATAAAGGAGAGTTGGTTTTATTTCCCAGTACAGACATGTTCTGGCTTTTGTTATCGCTGCTTTTTAAATAGCTGAAGGCAATTCCGAGTGGTGATTTATTCATAATAGAATCAGTTTGAGAAAAATGCCAAGTTGCAAACACCGGCAAGCCATAGCACTTCTCATTAATATGCAAGAGAAGAAAATGGCCAAATGATAAATTTAACATAGCACCAAACTAGCAATATGTCAAGGAGGAAATAACTGAAGACTTGCATTAGTATTTAAAACAGAATGTCAGGAAACTAGGAGTGTGGCACATAAGGACAAATTTGAAGGATGATGAAGATAAAATGGAAGCCACTGGTCCATTTTAGAGCCAATAGAGACAGAAGCCATTGCAACCCACAGCTCCTATCTGACACTTCAGAGTTCATGAGCGAGCCCTGAGTTCAGTACCCAGCACTGGAAAGCAAACAAACAAAAAAACTTTCTTATCACATAATCTCTGCTTTGCTTATCTAATGAAAGGAATTTTCCTGTCTTCTTCCAATGCGGCAGCCATTCGGGGTCTCAAAGGAACGTGTTTAGAACAAAGAACACAACTTGTTCCTGTCTGGTTCTAGCCACTCAGAATCTTTGGAAGCTGAGGACAAGCTCAGAATTACAGTAGAGGACCTGGAGGGGAGGGGAGGGGGGAGCCATGGAAACGAAGAGCGGCTGGTGTAGCCAGAATGAAAGATGTTAGCTGTCTGCCCTAAAGTAATAACACAATCACAGTCACAATGATGGGGCTACAGGTCAGTGCAGGAGTATGTGGCAGCCAAATCCGGGGAGGCAGCAGGTCTAGTTACACAGTTACAGCGATGGAATCTGAGGCATGGGCTGCTTCTGAAGGACATGGTGTCCTATCAGAAGCCTGATCCCATCAAGTTCTTCATAGCACTAGGGGAGACGTGGGATCTAAGGATTTTTGATTAACCTAAGAGCTCTCATTTCTGAACCTAATTTTAACAAGGTTTAAACATTACTACTAATTGTTTGGGCCCAGGGTGATTTTAAATGAATTAATTTAAGGCTTTCCCCCCAGGATGACAAAGTTATGTTAAATGATAAGAAATGATGAATGCTTTTTAAAATGCAAATCAGTTTAATTTTTTTTAATTGAAAGATAAAATGCTAGGAATTTGTGTGAAATAAGAGTTGGGACTGTTCTAATTTTAACAGTCACACACGTTTCTGGGCTATTCTGGATATCTTATTTTAGTGACATTTCATTTAAAGATACCACAAGGAGGGGGGAACATCTTTGCATTGCTATTACTGAACATGCTGGATTAAACATTTGTAATGAAAAGGGCATAGTTAGTTAAACATCTAACATCCCAGGGCAACTGGACGGTCTCTCAAGAGACATTCCCTTGGTGGTTCTCAGCAAGGGCCCTTGGCAGAATTCCCTGCTGCTTTTCTTCTTCCTTACCAAGTTCCTGCCCTTCTGGGTCTCTTCTGAGACCCGTTTTGGTGTCTTTCCATATGCTTACTGGACATCATACTTGAATTACTAACATTTTGATTGCCTAGATTTCTTCTAAAATTCTTTTTTATTTATAGGATCTCTGGGTTTTTCAGAGACATGAAAAAAAATCTGTTACAATTGCAAATGTTTTCCCCTCATCCTCCCAAATTACTTATTTCTGTGTTCAAGATAAAGAATGAAGTCACGAAACCTAGTTGTCTCATAAATTTAACATGGATTTGTAAAGTCTTTCTCTGTCTTGCTCCCAAACAATGACACAGAGACTTCTGATTAATTAGGAAAGCTTGTTCCAAACTAGTCAACTTATAACTTGAATTAACCCATTTCTAATCATCTTTGTCCCGCCAGTGGCTTGTGGCTGTTATGCTCCTGTATGTCGTGCTCTCTCTGTGTCTGGCTGGCAACTTCCACTTCCTTCTTCCAAAGTCCTCTCTCTGCCATGAAGTCCCACATATACCTCCCCACTAGCTATTGGCTGTTAAGCTTCTTATTACATCAGTTACAGTGATAGATCTCCACACAGTGTACAAATATCCCACAACAGGAATTCAAATACCTGAGAAGTGTTTTGTGTAGTTAGTGAAGTTGAAGTTTCTACTAAAAAAAAAACAGCAGGATAGACATGATGACGTAAGACGGGTTAGCTAATGAAAAATGCTCTCATCAAGTGTGTGATGAGTGTGCAAAAATTAAAATTATGAACCAGCATCCTCTTTTCTAGCATCAATTATCAGATCATTTATTTTCTTTGATCCAAAATCTATCCAGACAACAAGTCCTGTGACTTTTCCTTCAGTTGCTAATTATGGAGTGGGAGACTTTTGATTGTCAAGATGCATCTGAGAAGGATAATTTTCACGTTGGGATATTCTGTTAAAACTCAAGATTTTTTTTCATGATCTTTTTCTATTCCTCTCTTGCAAATAATCATTTCTAAAATGGCTTTTGTAAAAATGGATTTAATTTGCTTTTAAATTTTCTGAGTTCTTCCAGCTAGTAAGGACCTAAAGGTCCAGGGAGGAATGATGCATGATATCCTCATTCCTGAACAGCTCAGACGGTAGAGGAGAGGCAGTGTGGCACACATCAGAATGGACTTAAAGACACCCACTCCTTTATCCATCCAAGTGACTGGGGTGAAGGACTTTGTGGCGAGAAGATGTCTTTGGATTATTCAAATGGGTGTTACCTGATCATAAGCCTTAAAAAAAAACAATTACTGGTTCCTAGCCAAATATCCAGAGAGATGGCAGCAGAAGAGAGACCCACCAACGCTGCTGATTTTGAAAACAGGGAAGCATTGGATCTGGTGGCATACAACTGTAATCCCAGCACTGGGAAGGCTGAGGCAGGAGGATCACCATGAGTTTTAGGCCACTTCGGGCTACGCCGTAGTAAGTTCCTGTCTCAGCTGTGATAAAAAAAAACCCACAATGAAAAATAAAAAAAAAATTAAAAGAAAGGAAAACAGAGTAGTGGAGTCTCATACACATGCTTTCCATCCTAGCACTCGGGAGGCAGAGCAGGATAGCACAACATGGAGGCTGCAGAGTGCGATCTTGTCTTAATAAACATAAGAGGGGGAAGAAGGGGAGTAAGGGAGGCAGAGAGACACAGAGAGACATACGGGGTGGGGGAGACAGACAGACAGACACACACACAGGAACTGAGATACAAGGGGACCCTTGTCAAGCAATGCAAGGTTGGAAAAGAGAAAAGGGTTCTCCCTCAGGTCCTCAGAGGTCGCACAGGGGGCACCAGACACACTAGTGTTAGTCCACGTAACAGCACATTCACACGTTTTTTGCTATTTCAGCCAACTAAGGCTGTGGTCATTTGTTACGGTGGCAAGAAGCAGACGTACCCCAGGATACGTGAAGCAGATGAGCTTGTGGTCACTGTGACAAGGGGAAGACAGAAGGTAGGTGTGTGGGTCTGCAGTGCTGGGCATGGGCGGCAGGATTAAGAAGACAGCACAAAGTGAGGGCGGGGGGGGGGGGGAGGGGAGGAGGAGGGGAGGGCTCCTGATTGTCCTTGAACTCTTAGGACATAGTCAGGAGGATGCCCAGACAAAAGAAGAAACCCAAGTCAACATGCAATGTGTTTGCATTTCATCTTCCTGTGGGACCAAAGATATGAAAAGCTTGAAAAGGGAATATAAATACTTTTGTTCCTGACAAAATTGCAGCGAGATGTTCTGAAATCTTTTGACTTTTCCAACAACATACGGTGACTAATACACACTTTATAAGGCATCACTAGATGTTCAGAAGATAATGCTCAACGCCCTTAATTCCACCACAATAAAAGAAGAAAACTGTAATAGAGTCATCACCTTCATGTCCAAGCTCATACCTTCATTCATGGTCAGCTAAAGAAGATGAAGGACAAAAAGTGACGCTATTCTGAAACCACCCAAGAGCTGTCAGTAGTTAAGGAATCAAGCACCAGGCACCAAGGTGGGAAGGTAGAGAGCTGCTGCCCGCACTTGATGATTTCTGGTCCAGGGAAGCCATTCCCCCAGGAAAGATGGATTAGAAACTGAGCGGGGAAAATAAAAATTGTAGGCTTCACTGCATTCGAAATTAAAACAGAAGGCGGCGCACGCCTCTAATCTTACCACTCAGGGGGCAGGAGCAGGTAGATCTCTGTGAGTTCAAGGCCAGCCTGGTCTACAGAGCTAGTTCCTGGACAGTCAGGGCTACACAGAGAAGCCCTCTCTAAAAACAGGAAAAGAAAAAAGAACTTAAAGCAGAAAACAAATGCTGGGGCGGGGGAGGGGAAAGAGACAAGGAGAGGGGCAGGTGGCTATACACGTGTTAGCAATATAAACACCGAGAAAAACAGAGCTCAAAATACATAAGGACTCCAAGAACTCAATAAAGAAAACAGTACAATCTAATTTAAAAAATCATCTGTGGTTATAAACAGGCATTTCACAGAAGCAGCAGCACAGATGGTATTGAAGCTGGCTAAGGTGTTCCCAGAGAACACCACATCAAAACAAGACACTTACCGTATTATAGTCATCTAAGCAAAAGGAAGAAATCTGCCAACAGTAAGTATCAAATGACAGTATAGCTGGTATGCTTTAGACAATAATACCTCTGACACAACCGGTGGGAACCTACAATAAACTGGTTCACTTTGGGGAGAAAACTGGCATGATATATACTAGTTTTGAACACATGCATAGATATACATGAATCTCAGAAATTCCAGCTAGGGTAAATACCCTTGAAAACCTGGAATGTGTGTATCCAGGGATACAAATATGAAACATCCTCAGTAATGCTGATGGAATAGTGAAAAAAATAAAACAGAAACAGCTCGGTCACAGCCAAAGCAATGATTAAATATATTGTTATATATTCTCACAAATATTACACAAGTATGACATTCACATAAATATTTGCATATGAATAACAATGTCAGCTAGCAAATCACATATTTCAGTAAAAGTTCTCTAGTACGCCAACATCTAAGAAATAAGTTATTTGGGAATGTATTTATGTAAGTAAAACATGGATTGATTATAAAGCTAAATTAATATATTAAGTTACAGAAGTCGAGAATCATTCTTACAAAGCTATGCAAGACTAACTATATATTATTTAGACATCCGTAGAGATACGGGTATTTTTACATGTAAGATTACATAGAAAAGCCAATAGTGACCCAAAGCTGGAAGCAGGATATCCCTGGCATAGAAAGGCATCAAGGGAGGGGCATGGGGACTTCCATAGAGTAAAGGCTTTGGTCTAATCTCTAGGTGATGTGGCTACTGCCTGTCTCATCCTGTTTTAAAACTGAAAGACAAAGTGTATGTATTCTTTTTTAATAAAAAATATTACATAATGCAATTTTAATTATACCATGGAAACCCCTGTAATGTTATTTTCACCAGGAGCCTTTTGGTATCCAGCTTGGATGAGGATGACAAGCCAAGGGGGAGAAAGCATGTTGTTGATGATGTGTTAAAATACTATCTTAGAACTCTCAGCCTTCCCACACTTGAGGTAACAAACTTATTACAAAATGGCGGACTTAATTCTCCTTCCCTCACCATAAAATCCAGTCACATTCATGTGTCTGTAAAGAAAAAATGGAACACCTGCTTCCTTTTAATACATGGTTCAAGCATACAAAAGGCTTTGATACCAAGGAAGAATGGGAAGTGTCCATGTATCATACAATTAGTAAATTTATTTCAGATGTGTTTCTCTGTGCCATCACTTTGTGCTAATTTCTTCACTCATCATCCTCTACCATTATCCCAGCACACATGTGAACATTCCTACCACCTCCAATGTTCAAACCAGAGCCATTCCCTTCACAAGCCATTCTGTAAGAGTCGGGCCACAGGCAGGGTGGGGTTTGACCTGACATCATATGTGTAATAGAATGATCGGGAATCAGGACCAAGCTGCAGGTTGTGAAGCAGATAAAACCTCTGTTCTAAAGTCACACAGCTGAGCCCAAATCCCTAGTACTTCTACCCTTTAGCTGGGTGACAGCTGACAAGCCACTAAAAGTGTGAGAGTCTTAGTTTCCTCACCTGGGAGGCAGCTAGTAATACTATATATCCTACATAATAGTATAATGGGTTAAAAAAATACAATATGGGTGGTGGTTGTGAGGGTTCTGTCCGTTTACGAACTATCACTACTTAGTGCATGCTCAGATGTGGCACACTGTTTGTGTTGGCCTCTTTCTAAGCCTCTGATTGAAGCAGGCTGATGCACTTCTTCATCGCTTAAGGCAGGTTTCTTGACATTCCCTTTCACTGTGGAATCTGTTTCCTGAGCCGTTGCAGCCGCTGAACCAAAAGCGAGCACAAGAGTTAACCTGCTTGTCATAATACCATCTAACTACATAGTCTCCACAGTTTCCAGGTTTCAGGGCTTCCTCACATCTTGGATCTAGGGAGAAAAGGGGGTGGAGGTTACTAGAAGGTTTTTTTGTTCCATTGAAGACATGGGGAGGATGCTTTATGAAGTAAAGTAACATAAACTTTTTATTCTTTATGCATAGTAACAGGCCAACTGAGAAAATATGGTTCTATGTTATTTAAAGATTTCTATATTACTCCAAATATTCTGCCCACCACCAGGAACTCTACCACTATCCACTCCTTCAAAATCAAGTCTTTCAACTTTTGGAAAGTTGCACATTTCCAAGAAGGCATAAGTGAGAATCCACTAGCTAATATCTCTGGGGAATTAGCTGATAGGAGAAGATAGATTTCTTACAACAGTCTCACTAGGCAGCCCAGGCTGGCCCTGAACTTGCAATGTTCCACCCTTCCCCTCCGGAGGACTAGTACTTCTGTGCCCAGCACAGGACTTCTGTCTTTTACTTTAGATAACACACAAGCACCAGAGGGCAGTCTTGATGTTCATTTTCTTTTTAAAGGACAGCTGTCGCAGGACCCAAGAAGACAGGGCATGACCATCTAATGTCAGTTACTAGGAACTTCAGGAGCGCCAAAACAATAAGGCCACATTCTGCTAACTGAATTGGAGGCTCCAACTTCTTAAATCCCTTCTCATTGATCAACAATACAGAGTGCTTTGATTCTTATTTTCTACCTGAGGAAATTATCCCAAGGTAAGAAAAGCCAGACAAACAGAAAAAAGCTTCTCAGGACAGTGCTCGGAGACAGTCATGTGTTAAAGAACTTTGTCTCTGCAACAAAGCCCGTCTTCACTCCAGCTCCCCTAATGGTTTCCTCACATTCAGTGTGTGTCTTCATATATTTGCTAAAACTGATCTCTAAATCTACTTCTGCTACAAAGACTCCCTAGACCTAATGGAAAAGAACAGATTCACACAACTCCCACCTCAAGAACTAAATAACAGATTGTGCAACTTGTTTTCAAGTTCATCTAAGCTTCTGCCGGACTTGGATATTGTTGCTTTTTTGTATGTTGCAAAATATACTCAGTGATGCATTTTCTCTGTATGTATATGAGCTCATAGAAAACATGTTGCTGGGTCCAAATACAAGTTATACAGTCGAGGGTCAAAAACCGAAATATCTGCCTTTGAGAAGAACACAGAGTCGCCGAGGCCGTGGCAGTGGAAAACAATCACCTCTAAGACATTCAGGTTAAGACCTGTACTGTAACATTTCCATAACCACATTGCTCCCAGACAGCTGTTCTGGTCCATACGACTCAGCTGAAACTGGCTTTGTCTTCCCTATTAAGTTACAGCATTTCCTCAGAGGACATTCTAGAGACCACTTGTGTGCTTCTCTCACATTGCAGATACAGCGGCTGTGTGACAGATGTCTCTTACCTTTGTACAGAGATTTTTCTGACTGTAAAATCAAATTGGGATTTTGAATTCCGGTTTCCTTTGTCTCGGAGTTGTTGAGAAATGGCTCAAGTACACTGGTGGCCTCAGGTGGGATCGGGACAGCCAAGTTACCAGCTTCAGTCAACAGGGAAGGTTCATTCTCTTCATTCTGGCCTCTAGATATGTTAAACTGCGTGCACACACACACATACACACACACACACACCACATTCATATAACACATACACACACAGACATCACATATACATATCACATTCATAACACACACACACAAAGAAAGAAGTAAAAAAATTACAATTTTTTGTTTCTGATGTCAACTCAACAAAGCTAACTGATTTCTTGGAAAATATAGACAAAGCTTATCATTGCTGTGTCGCCCCAGCTGTCCAATACTGACTGCCTCAAGTAAAGCTCACAAAATCCTGTCCCAGGCCTGACTAGAGAAAGGTCACTTTCCTGATACTTTCTGTGGGTTCTAGTGTATGCACACTCATTGCCTACATATGGGTACAGATGTTCTGCTGGAAAACTTCCGGGGAGAATTGCATGCAGGGCATGAAATATATAAAACTGGAAAGAAATGACCTTCATTCAACTTTTAGCTATTGCTATAAAGAAAATCAACACTAATTTACCACTTTCTGGTCTTTTTACTTAATTTCCTAACACTAGAGTCTTACTGAGATATTTTGAAACATCTCAATGAAGTTTTGGTCAGAGAATAGGAACAGCAGACAGAGCATAACAAAATTTAAATGAAAGCCCTTAGCGTTCCATTTGATTGCTTGCTCAATCCCAGGGGAAAATCCTGTGCCTTCTCCTACTGTTACCCAGGGCCCACATAACACCCACTGTTGTGGAGTGCCAAGCTTCTAAGAATTCTGAGAAACACTTGATCTCTAAGGCATACAAGATTATAGCTCCAAAAGCAAATTTTTTAGAACAAAACTTTCAAGTTTCATCAGAATTTATGAGATATAATGAAATGGGGAAAGTACTTGCTTAAGAAAACATCATTTTCTTGACCATTATCAAGAGCTAGACAAGTCACTTGTAGGAATAATTGGAAGTGGGGTCCTTTTTTATTTTCTTTCCTGGATCTCAGCGACATGGAGTGTAGTCAGTCACTCAACCTCGGTCCTAGCCCAGCATGGTTATTCTTACAAGACCCTTCATTCTCCTCCTTTTTCTTCATTGCAGTAAGCAAATCTATGAACTAAATAAAGTAGTTTTTTGGATGCTTTTTAAACCATCGATCCTAGACAGTAAGCAGAACCATCTGAATTCATTAGATGCCCTCTGCTATCTACCTTTTCATAGCTTTGGATTCCGTGTGCACAGGTGCAAACACACATACACATACTCACACACCCTATCCAGTGGTCACACTTTAATCTGATTGCCTGGGTATGCCTGCCCCTTCCTGTCTTAGAATAGAACATTTTAAGGCTGGAAGGAAAGTGTTCAGTCCCCTCTTCTCCAATAGGAAGGGAAAAAGGCTCTGACCCAGGAAAGAGACTGTTCTCTTCCTTCCCATTGCCTCTTTACCAAAAGAAAAGCCCCTGGCAGGAGTCTACCAGGGGAGCAGAGGGTCTCTGAGGGGAGTGTCCTGTGCTCTGGGCGGCATGGTTTCCTCAGAACAATGGTTCTCAACCTTCCTTTAGCACCTCATGCTGTGGTGACCCCCAGCCATAAAATCATTTTCATTGCTACTTCGTGACTGTAATTCTGCTACTGATGTTAACTGCAATATAAATATCTGACATGCACTGTATCTGATATTAGACCCCTAAAGGGGTCGAGACCCAAGGCTGAGAACCACCGTCTTAAAGGAGGTACCTCTGCCTTCAGAGTCTTTGCTGAGCTCAAGTCCTAGAGCCTTAGAAGTCCCTCCTTTCTCCATGTAGAAATGCTTATTTGCTTCCTAAATCACATGACCACTTGGGAATTTCCACCACTGTAACATCACACCATGTTTCAGAATAAACACAATTAACTTTCTTCTATAAATGAAAATAATTCCATCAGTCTTTTGGCGCAGTAAAGTTTGATACCATTAAACAAATGTGTAATTGTTGTGGTTGGCAATTTAAAATTTTTCTTCCTTCTTACAAAAGCAAACATGTTTGCTGAAAGGAATTTTAGAAAATAATGGACAAGCAAAAAGAATAAAGTAGAAATCAGAAGCAATTCTACTCACAGATAATTACTGTTGATATATTTTCCCTACTCTAATTTTTTTCCTGTGTGAATATATTTTTAACAACAACAACAAAAAATGCAGACTGGGACTGTAACTTGATTTCTCATTTGTGTGTAACACGACAGCCACTGTCTGAAAGTGAGTTCTAAAGCTTAAACATGAAACCCCAAACCTGCCACCATTCTGTCCATTTCCGCTCTATCATACTGTTCAAAAGTGAGCTCAGAGTTGGAGAGTCGGCGGCTCATTGCTTAAAAGCACTTGCTCTTGCAGAGGGCCTGGGTTCAATTCCCAGCACCCACATGGCAGCTCACAGCCATCTAAAACTACAGTCACATGGAGATCCAGTTTCCTCCTCTGACTTGGAGGCTTCCAAGCACTCACATGGTACACATACATACATACATACATACATACATACATACATATATATATATGCAAAACACTCATACATATGAAATAATAAAATAAATAACTCTAAGGTTTGTTTTTTTTAAGCAAGTACACTGCTGTGTTCAGACTCAGTGTTTTTCAGTATGGAAGATCACTTGGTAGCCACAGGCAACATCTTTAAAGGTGTCTATCTGGCTTTACTGGATTCCTCCTAGATGAACTATCCCAGGTGGTGACTATTCTTGGCGGTCCATCAGCACTTGTAAACCACCTTGCACCTGGGCTGCCCTTCCCGGGGATGTCTGGGGCCTTCACAGAGGTAGAATGCAGGACTGCACTCAGCTTAAAGCCTCCCGTATTTTGAATGTCATCCACCGTGAAGTAACACAAGGGAACTTAGAAGTCTCTCTATAAACAGGAAATAGATGCATTTCTATTTTAGAAATAATAAAATGCAAAATCATAGATTTCAAAGCTGAGGAAATAAAGTATATATTCTCAGCACTGAGAATACACACCAAGTGTTTTGACTCTGTGTCTGCAGTATTTCTTCTAGGTAGCTCTCGGTTTGTTCAGGTGCCTTGTTTTCTATTCCATAGGACAGAACACCTCACATTTAGGGGTAATAAGTCATCAGCAATAGTCAGTGCTTACCCAGCAACTTCACCTTCCAATAATTAGTTGTTCCATAGGTTTTGCTGAGATTTTTACTTTCTCGCCACAAGAGAATATTAATTTTATTTTATAAACAAGTAAATTGGGATTTGCCCAACACAAGCACATCTGTAGATGTGATTTAGTCATGACCATTTAAGGATTTCAGGATGTCAGCTTCACCTTGCCAGCAGCAGAGAAACTAAACAACAATAAATATGGCCTGATGCCTCTTGACATTTTCGGTACCCTTGATTATGGCCTTTGGATAGGGTACTTTGTCATAGTCATTATAATAAGATTCAGTAGCCTACAAAATTTTATTTTATAGCACATCCAAAGAAAATACAGATACTGTCAAACATCCATGCTATTTCTCCTACTCTGTCACAGGGCCTTAGTAGCAAGTTAGCATCAGTTGTTCTATTATAAGCAGATGCCTAAGAAAATTCAGTCATAATAAATTATGCAAGTAAAAAATGACATTTTTTAAGAAGGAGAAAAATGACATTGTGAATAGGTAATTAATAAGCTACAGATAATTTAGCAAAGACTATGACCATGTGGTGATATTATTAATATAAGCAAAGGAGAGTTCTTGATCCATCACATAATGATACAGTGAAAAGAGAAGCTCATAGAATATACAGAGGAATGTCAAGAACATTCTAGAGAAGACAGACAGTGCAAGTAAGTATGGGGGATCATGCTCTGGACTTATGCCAGGTTCCCTGAGAGATGACTAGCTGGTTATTGGGATTGTACCACAGAAGGGAAACTAGAAGAGAAACATGGTGACTACCAGGGCTAACCACCTGTGGAATAGTCAGAATAAGGCACACAAAGGTCATCAGAAGGGTGACTTTGGGGGCCAGAAGCAAGGTCTGAATTGGGGAGAGAGGTGTGGCAGTTGTCAGGATGTGTGTCACTGGAACTCACTAGGAGAGTATAGAAGACAAAAAGAACTAGTTGAAAATAAATCTCAGAAGAGAACAAAGGGGGGAGAGAGAGCTGAGGGCTGTCTATATGTAAGGGGCAGACAGAGAAAGAGAAAGGAATTCCTGAAGTAACAGAAATGTACCAAGAAAGGGGTGGAAATTCAGCTTCAGACTGTGGCTATCGTGAGACACTAAAATGAGGGCTCAAGTAAGGATTTGGTAATGAGCTGGTCCTTAGTGGCCGTGTGCAGAGGCGTGGTGGAGGCTATACGCTGACTTCAGGGAACTTTCTATAAAGTAAGGGAGCTACAGGAGAAGGAAGAAGGATAAAGTATGAGAGAGAATGAGAGGAGGGTGAGGAGTAGAAGCAAGGGAAATGGGGGAATGGAGGGAGTGAAGGAGTAACAGATCAGAGACATGCAGAAAGAATAAAAAGCCAAAAAAGCAAGAGAAAGATGGAGCACAGGACAGCAGCCTACAAGGGATAATTTTATTCTTAGCAGATAGAAATAACCAACGGTATTGCCAAAAGAGCCGAGTGAAATCGGGAAGGGTTGCTTCATTTTTAAGGTGGGTGAATCTGAAAGCTACTCAGTGAGCCTGGGGAAAGAGTCTAGTGGGGTGGAGAAGGCAAGTCTCAGCTTGGACCAAGCAGAGGGAAGCATTGAAGAACACGGGAGGAGGATTAAATAGCGTGCCACGTCAGAGCTGAGGACGGAGGCTCACATTGTAGGATGAAGCAACATACTCAGCCCCAGCCTCAAGTCTGAACCTGACCGGGGTAGCAGTTCTTTGAGAAGGTTCCGGTAGAAACCAGGCGGGTTGGCTCAAGTCTGTAATCACAGCACACGGGAGGCTGAAGCAGGAGGCCCGTCATGAATTCGAAGCCAGCCTAGGCTGCATCGTGACTTTCAGGTCGGCTCAGACTACAAAATAAGGCCCCATCTTAAGAAAACAGACAAACAAAACTTCCCAGGCTCA